CAATTCCCAAGCAATATCCATGAATTTTTGCCGAGTGGACAAAGACGTGTGCGGCCTAGCATTGTCCTGCTGGAAAATGACACCTTCACGATCGACCAATTCTGCTCGCTTTTTCTTGACCGCTGCATTCAATTTGTCCAGTTGCTAACATTTACGGATAATAAAAAATAACATAATAATAATTTTATAATATAACATTTACGGATATCATAAAAATGGGAGTTATAGAGACATCCATAACTGAAATTGGTAATTACTTAGTTGCCAACCCAATAAATTGAAACAGTTGCGAGAACCGAGAAAACGTTGTAGCCGTTATGCATATAACTATTCTGGCTGATTCCAGTTTCGATTCTTCGCGACGTTTATTTTTGAAATACTGTCCTATTTCATAGAATATAGAAAATAAAATTTATCACAGCAATGATCATTTCAAACATGACGCTTTAGAATGTGCGCGTTACACGAGAAAAAGTCTACCGTTTTCTTCTTCGGACACCTTAAGAGAAGATAATTGCACAGTTCGATCTCTGTTGACAGAAAAAACATCCAGAGACTCTGACGTAGAATACAAACAGTTCGCAGTTAATTACCGGTGTTACTAACTGCGCTATCGTCGCGCTTGGTTTGCACACAAATGTGTCCCGTGTCTCTTTTACGAAACTATTCAAAGAAATTGCAACCTTGCCCCCGTTTCAGCTTTAATGGAGGATCTTGAATATTTTATAAGCCATTAAACGTCAATAACGTTTCGAAATTAAGTATTAATCGTCGATTACTCAATGAATTATACCGGGAAACATAGCAGACGAAAATAAAACATCAACGATTGCTCGCTTCCATTGCTAAAAGGTCTGATAACTTATTTCGAAACCGGTATTTAGTCGTTTCAACCCAGTTATAAAAGCGGCATCGAGCCGTAAGTAACAGTATTTTGATACTGTAATGAAACTTCCTACTAAATATTGCTCCCATTAAACGTTGTGCGAATCATTTTGTATTTCCCCCGGTTATGATACAACCGACAATGAACGTGACAATGAAGTTAACGTCCTTTCAACAGTCTTACAATCTTTCAAACTTTTTGATGTCGATTTCGTCCTACTTATAGTACCGCATTTTTAATTATTAATACTATATTTAATTGACAAACTGTGGATTTCGATAAAAATGAAGAGATTGAACATAAAACCGTAAAAATATTAAAAGAATTCTCGATGACATTCTGGTATTCTCACTTAATTTCTGCTTTTCACTTAATTTCTGCTTCTTACAGTTAACTTCGACAATTTCGATTTCTTGCATGAATGGTCGGCAGGGTAATTATTTTACAACGACAGAAAATACGATCACTTGCAATGCCAACCTGAACGGCTCGGTACGCATTCGGTATACAATACGAACGACAAACAGTTTCTACAAAATTAGTACTACAATTCGTGTGCATTTGATAACTATGTCTATTTTTAGTTTCTCAAGCGTAGCCTACATTTCCATTCATTAGTACATCATTCTCGGAACAAGAGCTGTTTTGTCAACAACTGGAAAACACTGTTATCGAAATTGTAAAAAGCTCCGCTACTGCAACGCAAATATGTCTGCAATTTTAATGCTAATCCACGATTTTATACCACGAACATACGTTGTAGTAATCTTGCCTGTGTGCCTGTCACACTCTCTTTAATATATGGTGTCCCAAAAATGTCTTGCAATCCGGAAAAGTCAGGTCGTTCGAAGAAACTTTTTCCTCGGCAAGAATGCAATTTGTGGCTTCGTTTACGAGTTATTAGCGAAAAACAGTGACCAATGAGAAACGAGATCGGCTGGTACGAGACGGCGCTGGGCTTTGTGCGCTCATTGGCTGGGCCGTTACGCGCCAGTGTTTTTTTCGTTAATAGCTCGTAAACAAAGCCGCGGATTGCATTTTCGCTGAGGAAAAAAATTACTTCAAATAACCTCAGGAACCCCTCGTTTCCCGGAAATGCCATAATTTTGGGACACCCTGTATATATATATATGCAGAGAACTCGAGAATCTCGAAAAGCTGTTTACGTCGTTTCCCCTGTTGAGATAACTATCGGTAGACGACGATTCCAAACGAACGAAAGTGAACTCGCGTCGTAACCACATTCCGGAAAAAGAAGTTTGATAATTAACGAAAGACACGGTTCGGAGTGGTTTCGAGTCGGCTGATGCTTCCTAAAGATTTTAATTACGTACGGTGAAGGAGTAGTTCTTGCCGTGGCACGTGGTTAGATACAGTCGCTTTGGAAAGCGAGCTTAACGATCGTAGCTCTTAGAGAAATTAATAT